AAGAAATAAAGTAACAGTTTATTTTTCTCTTCAACACATAAACCTCAACAGAAAGAAAATAAAAGTACACAAAAAAAACAAGTTTTGTGACATTATTTTATTTGTTTATCGTCTTAGTTAGATAATAGTTTTAAAAAAATAATCATAGTCGAGATCGACACAAAGAGAAAGAAGTCGAACAGCATCTCCAACATCATACATATGCAATGGGAATCTTTTTTCCTTTGTCATTTCTTTTACTAATAAATAATCGTATTTGATATTGAGGTGATGAATGTTCTTGAGTATCAGTAATGTAAGGAAGAATTACAGGCTACAACAATATGATTTTTAGATAGTGACGTTAATCTTCATTTTCTTGTCTTTCCATATTGCTGTCTACATCTTCTTCTTATGTTCTCTGTCACTTCTTTATTTTTATTTTTTTTTGTGGCAGTATTTGTTATACGTGAGCGTGTCTATACGTTATTATCTCTTGGGAGTAGAAAAGCAAACGCATAATATGAAGAAAGCTTCGTTGACACAGGCAAATATTAATGATTATTGTCATATTGAATTAAGTCCAAATAATTAATAACTGTTCCATGTAAAATTGATTGTTGATCAACTTACGAAAAAAATATTTTTTACGAATCATTTTTTAATTTTGATCTTTATGAGGAATAATTCATAGTGATTGAGTTTTGAAATCATAATTAAATTGTCTTTCTGTTTGTGAAAATTGCTCTTATGTGTTCTAGATCGTACAATAATTCGTAAATAGAAATATTAATAGATAGTCATACAACAAATGAATATATAAGATATCACGAAATTAAAAACTAATGATACGAACATTAACATCATTTTCAAATTCTTGTAACTAACAATGGAAGGTCGCGACCTGTCAGTGACGGAGACAGGACTTGTTCGGGCCAAATGAAAGCTCTCATCTTTAAACTATCAAATTAAAAATATTACATGCCCATAGAATCCCTAGAGAAACTTATTTAAATTTTAAGGTATGTAAAATTTGGGTATAAAAATGAATCACGAAAGGTTTCCTTCACTATTGTAAGGACAATACATGGTGTTGTTCGGGCCGATTATGGGGTTTGTAGAGATCCTCTTTCATATGGCCCGAACAACACCATCTTTTCTCCGTATAATAGTAAAGTGAATATTTTCTATACCTTATAGAAAGCAGCATTTTCCATCATCCGCAAAAAATATTCACTTTACTATTATACGGAGAAAAGATGGTGTTTTTTCAGGCCATATGAAAGAGGATACCTACAAACCCCATAATCGGCCCGAACAACACCTTGTATTGTCCTTACAATAGTGAAGGAAACCTTTCGTGATTCATTTTTATACCCAAATTTTACATACCTTAAAATTTAAATAACTTTCTCTAGGGATTCTATGGGCATGTAATATTTTAAATTTGATAGTTTAAAGATGAGAGCTTTCATTTGGCCCGAACAAGTCCTGTCTCCGTCACTGACAGTTCGCAACCTTCCATTGTAAGATGCTTGAAATATCTTTTCGAATTAACATACTCAATAATCGTAGGTCGGTTGTATACTCATCATACATCAGAGCTGGGCAACTCAATTCAAAACAAAGGAAATTTCAATTCATTCCAACTCTACTCAACTCAATTCAATCTAGGAATTCGGCCCAATTTAATTAATAAAGTTCTTATATGTCATTGAATGGAAACGAATAGACAAGAACATCAACGATTAACGTATTGAATTGAATTGGAGTACTCATTTTCCTTATATCAAATGTAATGGATTATTTTTGTCTATGAATTGAGTTGTCCAGCTCTGCCATACATAGCTGTGAATACATTACAATTCTATTGTAACCCACTGTTCATATGGCAATTAAACTCGCTGCGCCGATCATTAAACATATGGATTTGGGTGTGGGTGTAGTTATCCCTTAATCCACACCAACATCCACATCCGTATCCACTCACACCGCACGCCCACGCCCACCCACACCCACCCATATCCTCACAATAAAAAACTTTGATCAACTGTATAAGAAATCTATGAGATTGATTTCAGTCGAGACAAATGACTTGTAAGACAATATTTCGTACTACATCTCAATTATTTAACTAAAACAGTTCGCTTTTCATCGTCTTTAACGAAAAGTAAAATTCTTTTCAATTCTGTTGACTAAAATATTATTTTTACATTATGTCTAAAGTTGAGAATGCATTAAAGCTTTAACTGAATTATTGATCCACTGCAAAATGGTGACTTTCTTCTATGCAAGCTTGTTGTCTTTCGAATTTTATTTTTTTCTACTTGCATTTGTTAGCGTCAATAGATGTCACTCTATGACGCCAACTCATCTATTCCTTCCTATTGGTTAAATTCATCCTCTTTAATGTTTTCTCTTTCATCTTCTTTCTGTTATCTTTTTTTCTTTGTTCAGTTGTTGCTTTTCTTCTCTCTCTCTCACATCACCATTATTATTATTGTTATTGATTTTTCTATTGTTGTTATCGTTATTCATCTATTATTATTATTGTTATCTTCATTATCATTATCCTTGTCCATTTATATGTATTATTTGTTTATTTAATAAAACATATTACATGTTACGACGACAAAGTAAGGTAGACAGTTTATTTGAGCTCTTTAATTCTTTAGCAGACTAAAATCATTAGTTCTACTACAGATCCCCAAACTAGAGTTTCACAGAGTTCAATTTCTTTTGACGTTCTTTCGTTAAAAACATATTAGTTAGAAGACAACGGCATATACGAAACAAATTTACTATCCAAGGCTTTGTTTTATACATATTCATAACAAAGTCAACGCAATAAGAAAAAGATTTATGGCAACTTTGAGGCTGTGGGTGTGGTTTAAGGGATAACTACACTCACACTCACACCCTTCTTCTTTTTTTATAAAACAGAGTCAACAACATATTCAAAGGTCGAATAACAGGAAGATAAAGCAAGTCATATCTTTTTTCTTTTTCTTCTTCGTGAGATACTATTTTTCTCTCACTAAAAAAATTGAAGAGGCAACGTTTTGTTGATGTTAGACTTGGACAACGATGGAAATACCCAAAGACTCCACGAATTCTGCATGGCAAGTCGAAAAATCACCATTTTCCGATTATTTTTCGAGTGAACTTCCTAAAAAATCTAACATTGTCATTATCGGCACCGGATTCACTGGAATTTCCACTGCTTACCATGTTTTGAACTCCTCTTCTACGTCATGTGTAACGTTGTTGGAAGCAAGACAAGTATGTTCTGGCGCAACGAGCAGAAACGGAGGGCTTTTGACACCTGATATTTATTCTACTACACTCTCGCTACTATCTAACGGATTTTCGCCTGCTCAAGTTGTTCAATACGCACAGTTTGAAATAGATAATTACGAGACAATCGTGAAGATTATTAGGGAAGAAGAACTTGACTGTGAATTTGTTCGTAAAGAATATTATAACGTCGCTTTCTCTACAAATGAATTCGAAGATCTAAAGAGGAGTGTTGAAATGATGAGAAATATAGGAGGTCCGGTCTCTCAAGTTCGAATCTATCAAAATCCAGAAGCTTCAAATATGGTTGGAATGAGATGCGAAGGACTCGTTGTCCATACATATAGTGGATCTATACATCCTTATAAAATGGTGACTGGTCTTTTGTCCAATTTATTCAAAAAGTTTGGAGATAGAATTAAATTGTTTACCCATACGCCGGTTGAAAAGGTCGAAAATAACACGATACATACGAATCGAGGAGCTATCATTGCTGAAAAGATTGTCTATGCAACAAATGGCTACACCTCTCTCTTACTCCCGCAAATGAAAGATATTATCATCCCGGTTCGTGGACAAGTCATTCAATCGAGTCCAGTTGATAGATTTATTCAAAATAGTTCATTCAACCGTGGCGGAGAATACCTCTCTCAAAGATCCACCAATAAATTAATTCTTGGAGGTGCCCGTCGCTTCTCTCCTACTGCAGAAATCAACACAATAGACGACTCCATTATAAACGAGAAGGTGAGCGTCGAATTACAAAGGTTTTGTGAAAAGTTGGGTGGTGAAAGAGTCGAGATGGAGTGGACGGGAATCATGGGATTTACGAAATTTGGGATTCCGGTGGTTAAACAAGTTGATAAAGCAGTTATTTGTGCAGGATTCAGTGGACATGGGATGACTCGCATCTTTCTATCTGCAAAAGAAGCAGCAAGACTCGTTCTTCAGTTGGATGAAGCACAAATTACACCGTTTGGATTCGATCAAGTGCGACCAGTAACGCCTGATGATATCGGAAGTTGTAATCCGCTTCAATGATTTATTGTACCTATACTTCGTTTTATCCACGTTTTTCTATTTTAAACTTTGTTTAGTCTTGGTTTCTCTTTCAGCGAGGATATCGTTTAATAGTTTTTCTGTACGGGCATTTGATGAAGAAACAGAAGAATGATAGTGATTTCTACCAAGTCGATGAGATCATATAAGGGTGTGGATGTGCGAGTAGGGTGTAGGTGTGGGTGGGTGTGAATGGGTGTGAGTGGATGTGGATGGGTTTGGGTGTGAGTGTGCGGATGGGGTGTAGGTGTGGGTGAGTGTGAGTGTGGACGTAGGATCTGAGTGTGTAATGCTTACTCTCACCCACACTCACACCCACACCCTACCCACACCCCACACCCACCCGCATGCAAATGGATTATCACTAGCAATTAAGTGCGATTTTTCTTCATATAGAGATCAAAACTCCATCAATAATTGATCAATTTCTTCCTTCGAACGTCCATTCATTTCCAATGCTTGTCTAACCGAGCCTTCAAAAGCACATTGTATTGTTTTGGTCATTATTTTAATAAATTCATCAAGTGTTAATTGTCCTTTTTAAAGCTGTTCAAAAAACGGCAAATTCACTTGACCTAATTCAGCTTTGATCAATTGTAATGAACATCGATCAAACAATACATGATCGACACATTCAGATAATGAAAGGCAGTATACAGGAATTGTTAAGTCCGATAGCTCTTGTTTATTGAATAGTAATTTTGCACATGTATAAAGATAATCACAGTAAGAGGAGCAGCACATACTATTCCTTCATGATCAGCACGCGGAATATTAAAAATAAGAATGCCACCAGGTACAAGTTCTCGAGAACGATTCTCTATAAATGTATCAAAATCAAGTTTTGATTGATGTTTGAATGTTTCACGTTCTTTCTCTTCGGCATATGTATAAAATCGATGATTGGTGATGGTACAAGGCACTTTTGATAGCCAATTAACTGACGTACATGAAAATGCAATCGAAAGACTGTTTGATGGAAGACATTGTTCATAAAATGAACGACCATTAGCCATACCTTGATATGAATTATCTTTGGCAAGAAGTTGAAAAAGTGTTGTCCAATCATTTGTTGGAAGATCATTATGAACAACAAGTGGTGATGTGATGAGCTTATTTGTTTGTTGAAGATATTGAATAATGATTTTCATAGCTTCTATTGAATTTCATCCATGAGATGAACCAAAATCAGCAATAATTAACGTTGAAGATGAAGATGAAATATCTAAGTGATCAATACCCAAATGAATATATGGTATCATGTAATTAACTAAAGCCAATTGAGAAAAATTGTTTTCATTATATCCTGAAGCCATCCCAAGAGTTGCACCGGTGTTTGTAGTCATTTTTTTATAATGAGTGAAAACACAACAAACGCAATTATAAACACTGATCACGTTGACGAGAGATAAATATTAGTTCTGATGTATAATAGGAAGCCAACGTTGATTTTATATTTGTTCTTTGCATCTATCTACTTACGATCGAAAAAAATACCTTACATTATATTCTTTTCATCTACGCATACGAAATCGCCCCCAGTGATTATTAGAGCTCCCTTTATTCGACTCGTCTCTATGCTCACTCTAATACGAATGAATGTCTAAACACATAAGAGAGATAACGAAAGAGCAAAACAGACGAAAAGAGAAAGCGAAAACGAACAGAGAGAAACCATACACGAATAGCTAAATCGATGTGAAAGCATGTAAATAAATAAGATGTCTGTAACAGACCTCTCAATCGGTAGAAATGTGTGTACACACACATGAAAAAAAAGAAGAAAAGACGATAGACAATAAAATACGAACGCAAAGCATATATTTTCGAATGATGCAAGAGCAAACACGCGTAACATGTTCGATAATGGAGTCGCTGATGCATGAAGTGTGTTTGACGTCCACGTACAGACGGTGCTGGTGTCGATGTCGATATATAAAACTGGTTTAACGTGCAATACGTAGCTCGTGATATTAGGTTGCGAGAAAAATCCTCTTTGAATGAAGGAAACGAAAGTTCAACAAAAAAATATTTCAAGAAACGGTGTTGTTATTCTGTCACGAATTTATGATGGAAAACAGCTATCAAACTGATACGACCAAGTTTAATCAAATCAAGAGATTTTTGATGCAACCATCTGTCTTGTGTGTTCTATTCAATGAAGAAAAATAAATGTCGATGAGATGATACCAAATACCTAGTGCCTGAATAACGAATCCTAAATAATGTCCGATGGTCACGTAATGACGTTGATTAAAACTGATTTGAGATCACAAAGCATTTTGACCGTCTTAACGTACGGTAATGGGTTATTGAGGTGCTGCCACCTTGAGGGTGAGAGCGATGGTGAGTATATGTGTATCTCTTAGATTCGAAAATCTAAGACGTAAGTAGCTACCATCGCGATTTTGATCTGACAAACGCTCTCATCAGGTGGCAAGATACTTTGCACTAACATTTTGCCTATGAGGATGAGTATAAGCTACCACAACGTTTCATCTGAAACTCAACCAGAATCATCAGGTGGCACAATTTCTAGATTGATATCAATAAAGAATCAATTCAAGACCGTTAATTATTTTGTTTTATGGGAAGTCAAAATGATAGAAGAAGTTGTTGTCGTGTGGGGTTTAAGCAGGCATAGATTACTATGTGTGTTTAGCTGTCGTTGTTAAGGACAATCATTAAAAATCTGAAAAAAAAAGAAAAGTTTGATTCTCATTACATACTTGAATAAGTATCGCTGAATAATCTTCGATCTTTAGTTAATCGCAATTTAATGTAATCTGAAGTTACAATTAGAAAATGAATGACATTTTTGCTTTGGATAAGCAATACATATATTGTTTTTATCATAGTGAATATTTCAATTGTCGTGGTGGGGTATGGGTGTGGGTGTCGGTTTTGACATTGCCTTCTGATATATTCACACCATACCCACACCCAAATACTTCAAGACTACAATTAAGTAAATTGGTAATCATTTCATAGTGTTGATTATTTAATTATGATTTATCTCGTGTTTTTTTATATGATTCTAATTGATGTTTTGTTCTTTATATCCATTCTTGTTATTAACACCTATATATGAACATATCAGTTAAATTAAATAGATAATACGATCAATTTTTATTCTGCAATCGTTGAATTATTTTTCTATAGAACCGACTACGTCATTCATTATTATCATTATTGTATTCGATCACAAAAAAATAATCATCTATATGTTTTCTATGATACGAATCAGCAAAATAATAAGATTTAAAAACAAAATAGAACGATTCATTTATTCTGGGTATATTTTTGATATTGATGATATTCTCCTCTTATTATGAAAAATATGTATAGAGAAACTAAAAGAAAACTTATTAGTTATTTTGTTTGAATCGATAAGTGAAATAGAATAAAAGATGACGTACATTTACATATTTTTAAAAGTTATTAGATCATGCATCGATTTACATAATTATTTATTTGACAATAAAAACAAACCATTACACAGAGTAAAATAAATTAGAATAAAAACGAAATGAAGATACAGCTAGAATAAACAAAGTTAAGTAATAAAATAAACATTTAAATAAAAAAAATAATAATGAAAAAAACAAAAAGAGAAAAATGTTTATGTACTTCGTAGTTACTTATACGAATAGATAGATTTCTTTGATTATTTAAATGAGAGTTATAGGCTGGCCGCTTGTCAGACAGATCCAGAAGCTTAACCAAGGGATGTTCAGGGTGCCTGGACATTTTCCTTGAAGAAAAAAAGTGCCTGGATGGAGAGTACAAGACTATAAGAACCTATTCACATGACCAAGGATCTTTTGCTGCTGGCGGGCATCTCCTTTAGAAAATTTCTGGCTACGCCTCTGGACAGGTTCTTAAACCAAATTTAAGTTTAATATTTTAGTCTAGTTTGATTCATTCGTATTTTATCTGGTTCTATTATTAGTTTAGGTCAGATCAAATTTGTTGAGCTAGCTGGTGTATTTTCGAAATTAAATGTTCACCCATTGCAGTATTATGCGAAACTACTTTGATATGTTCATTTCAATATAACAACAACTATCTTTGAACCAAATGTCAATTTAATGTCATAGAACTTATATTGATTGATACAAGAAATTATTTAGATCCTAGAAAATTGGATACGAAAAATATTGTGTGCTGCACTCCTTCAGAAATTGATTATCAAATATAGAAATGTTCTTGTTTGTTGTGATAACTGTCGCATATTCTTAGAGTCTTTCAGAATAAGATTTTTTCGAGGGTGTGGGTGTGGAGTTGATCTACCTCACACTCACCAAAACCCACACCCACACCCACACCCCATCCCAGCTATTCTTAGTCCTTCATACAGTACCAGCCATAGCAAACAACCATCAAAACAATGATTCTCATTTAGCTTTTTTATAAAATACCACGCTACATCATTTATTCTAGACACACAATTTTCAAAGCACTACCTACATCTGCATGAAACTTTCAAAATTTATACTTCTCTTCTACTACACAACAAGTATCAAAACAAAACACCCTTCCTTTGACAACATCCACCCAACCTTCGATCTGATTTCCATTATGTTCTATCTTCTTCTACCTATCTCGTTCTCAATCTCGCCATGATACTAATACATAAATAAAAATGGACGTTCTCATTTAGTTAATTTTATTGTTTAATATTTTATATATATGATCAATGAATTAACTTATCTATTAAATGTACTGATACATTATAGTTTATATGCACTATGAATATAGATGTATGATTTTGTTGTTGTTGGTTTTTTCTTTTCGTCTGATGATGGTATCTGTGAAATAGATACCGAAATATTACGTTATGAATTATGTAAAAATTTTAGCTGTTCATAATTTTGTATTTTATATTTTGTTTTTTCTTACATAATAGTCCATTTATTTTCACCTATGCGATCATGTCAAATAGACACTTGAAAAACTGCGAAACCTCTCTCCACAAACGACAATTTTTCCGTCAATAACAAATTCGTTATATCACTCACAATGCGTAAATAATTTCACAACTTTGCAGAAAGAAGAACGAACATTTTTCTCCCGTCACAGAGAGTCACTTTTTTCAGCGCTGTTCCGATATTCTCAGTCAACTTCAATCAGTTTGCATTGTCACCAGCTCTGATTTGTGCATGAAGACAGGTGATGTTACACTTTCCGAACAGTGCTGAGGAATAAATAAGACAAAGAAGAAGAACAGAAAAAAAGAAATATTTACTTTGGACTTGTGTCGCAAGTAAGTTATAAAGTGCACCTTCGAAGCGAAAGATAAAATGTCGTATAATAGGTCTGAGTCAAACAATGCTCAAAATAAGAGAATTCGAGACCTTATAGAAATTTCTCAAAATGAATCCTACTGGAATTTCTACGGTGAGAAACTCATTGATTCTGATATTGAATTAATAGCAAATGAATTGAAACGAGGATATCGAAATTGTCAAGTGCTTGATTTATTCAAAAACAAAATTACGTCTAAAGGTGCTCTGTATTTGAGTGAAATGTTAAAAGTAAACGGAACCCTTCGAATCCTCAATCTTCGTTGGAATCAAATTGATGATGATGGTGCAAAAAATCTGTTCGATGTTTTGAAAGATGGGAATAGAACTCTTGAACGCCTTCATCTCGACCTCAATCAAATTACAGACAAAAGTGTAGTGAGTATCCTTGAAATGATCAATGGAAATCGAACATTGACGCTTTTAATTCTTACTGATAATCAAATATCAGAAGATAATCAACGACAATTAGAGATGGCAGGCCAACTGAGAGAACCACTTCGTCTGGACGTTCGATTCTGTTAGATTTTTTTCAAGTTTGCTCCAGTGAGAAGTTTATTTCTATTTGACATGATTAATTCTCTTCTTTTATTTAATCTAATATTAAAACCATAAAATAAACATAAACTAGTGATGTTTGGTATCTTGAAAAGATACTTCGTCAAACATAAACATTAAAACAAATAACTAAACATACATAAACATACAAGAAACAGAACATATTCGAACAAATAAATTAGACTATTTTCAGTCAACTTTTATAGTGGTAGACAAAACAAGACGGCAATAGTGACTAGGTCAGGATTTAATCCTTTTCCGCAGCAGTGGACAACGATCTGATCAGT